CCCTGTGTATGTTATTCTGACCCAGCATGGTCTGGCAAAACTGCATATCAAGGCTAACTTCGCTCTTTTCTTGTGNTATTCAAGATGTGTATAAGAGACAGCTTTTGTACTACACAATTACAGCCGAATATTAACCGGGCTACATTAAATGTTTCGATACTTCTGCATTACAGAAGTGCAGCAGCGGAGCTATACTAGCGACCAACCGACACACACGAGCCATGGTCGAGTCCAATTACAGCGGACGCCTTTTGATGGCTTTATATCGACGACGCCGCTCTCGCACGTCCCACGAAACAATGGATCGTGACCTGACGCGTGACTACATTTTTCCTCGTCCTATTGAACAGGAAAAAACGTTCGATTTTTTTCGACCAATTTGGTTCTTTAATCCAAATCTATTCGTTTGTAGGATCATTCCAATTTAGTCAATTTTACTGGTGAAGTGTCATTTGCTTGCACTATGTGATAGATTTTTCTCACCAGCCCTTTTTAGCGCATTTTCTCAGTTATGGAATAAATGCACTATTGTGCTCGCCATGTCCGTCTGTCCGTCCGTCTGTCTGTCCGTCCGTGACTTCACGTTTTCGTCGACGAGAAAATGCTCTCTCTCACTCACTGCAGTGAGTACTGAGTTATATTTTTTTAATGTATCGTCGAATTATTGAACCCCGATTTGAATTATTGAACTCTTGACTCGAGATGGTTGTTGTTTATCATTTATCGAATAAATTATGTTTATACTGTCCGAGAGTAGGTCGCGGCCTACTCTCGGACAATACTCACGAATTGAAAGGTTTATAGTTGCGTATGGATTTTTGAGAATCGCTTTGGGTATTTTAGTCAAAAAATAAAATTTTCGGTATATAAATAAGTATGATCTGTCGCTGTATTTTGTTCATAGCTAGGTTCAAAAAATGAAGTAATTCCTTTTCCTGGTATTTATTTTATGCACTATATAAAGAATTTCTTTGTACTGGGACTTCTTCATGCGAAAAGTACTCAATCAAATTACGCACACTGTTAGAAAAAAAATTCGGACCGTTTTTTTCCGGTTATTTCGAATAATATACCTGACTTTTGTTATATATCTCTCTGATATATGTATTTATAAATATATTATGAATGTTATTTATTCGTAAAACCTGTTTTGAGCACACACTGTTACTCAGGGTTATTGCATTTGTGCTGTTGTCGATCGCAGCTGCAGAAGTTGCAGGTCTTCGCCGCTCTGCATGGAAGCTCTGGCGTAACTTATAATTTCCGCAGCGATATTAGGGACGCGACTTAGGAGATTGCCAGCCAATAGGGATCAAGGAGAGGGAAGCGCTCTTCTTTATTTAGGGAGTGCGTGAGGGGTCGTCCTTTTCCCCAAGTATTTTCCGATATTTTTTTTCTGTGAGCAACATAATATGAATGATATTTGCATGTTAGATCATGAACAAGTTTTTGGTATTTTACAGAGCTGAGGTGAAATTAATTTTCCATTTATGTTGATGATGTAACTTAGTGATTGCCGATGATTCTAAAAGAATTGCCAGCAAATAAATTGCCTTTAATTGCTATTTTGATGAACTATTAGACAAGCTATTAGAAACCCTATACAACGTTGCCGCTTTTTACCCGCTAAATTTTGGTGTTGATCTGTTTTGGTCTGTCATGCTGTTTGCCTTTGAATAATGAAGGGCCAAGTCCGTCGTAATTGAGAAGTCCTTCACCGGCAGATAATTATACGTTGCATTTGCATCAGTTGATTGCCTCGCTCATTCGATCCATTCTAAAAATGTTGATCAAAGCGTCAACGAGAATTCTGTTTATCGATAGGCATCGAAATTTTTCAGTGCAACCATGACCTTTGCTGGAGAATCTCTTAATTATTCAAGGCCTAATGTATAGAGTATTGATCTGCGTTTGAGTGCCTGGAAGAGTTTACTACAATAACTTGCCATGAACTCTATTTCTGATAACTCAATGCCACTTTTTAGTGGCCGGCTATATTTTAGTCATTCTCAGCTTTTATGCAGTATACTGAATGCGAGTTAAAAATGCACTTTTTAATGTACGCCTAAATTGCAGCGCTCTGATTACCGGAAATGTTGGCTATCTCAAAAAATTTTATCCAAAAAATATACAAAATTTTCTATTTTCTAAGAGCACACCAGCGTGTTTTTTTGGCTCTGAATAAATTTTAGCCCCAATAGATGAAACGAGGCTCAATCTTGCGATATAGAGGCACTCAAGCGTCAATAATTGCTCTATCCCCGCACTGCAGAGCTGCAGTCTCCCTCACGTCTCGCTAACTGCCGCTAGCTTATTTCTCGAGACCGTTTGTAGTCTCCAGCAAAAGTGGCGCTCGAAGTTAACTGATGGCTACGAGGTGCGACAAAGTTAACTTCTAATGAAAATATATAACAGGAGAAAAGCTCCTAGCCTTTGTTGTAGGAACTTGGTTGCTCCAAAAGACATTCGTCAAAGTCTGTGTAGACAAAGACGGCGCCTGCATTTGATATCTCCTCCGTACATTTTAGTTTAATTTTTACCCACGTTTGTGCATAGGAGGCAATAAGTTTAGAATTTCCTGAGAAAAGCACACACTATGCACGCACAATTTACTTATAATTAACACAGGCAGTTGAATACATCCGAATGAGTGCTGACCTAAGAGTTTATGTAACTTATGTTTTTAAATTATATGTGACTATATAAGTGACTATATATAGTTGCATTGAAAGCAACGTCATCACACGACTAGCCAGTGATGAGGGAGCTTGAATAATTTCCTTCACAAACTACTAATTTCATGCAACTAGCTTCATAATGAATAAATCAGATTAAATTATCACTTTTTGAATTTCAATATCTTTTCCTGCAAGAGGTGACTTAAATGACAGCTTTTCACTGTTTAATCTGGTTTGAAATTGATTGTTATTAGAATCACTCACTGATGTTCGTTTCTCTAATTTGAACTTTGTTCTATGGGATCTTCGTTAAAGTCTGGTTGATGTTGACGAGATCCAATAGTTCTTCGTTTATTTTCAAAATTATTAATTTTTACGAAACAATTTTTTTAGCTGAATTCTTGCCAAGAATCTAGCGTCTTCCTTGCCTTGCAACCTCTAAAGCTCAAGGCGAAGTTTTTTAAGAGACTCCTTATCTCTACGCTCGGCCTCCTTCCCAGCTCATGTTCTTATCGAGGTTTTTTATCCGTTTCCTTTCACTCGTCCTTTAAAGTTAAAATTTCCGTCTTGGCGACTCCCTGGGATTTATTTAACTCGATTTATATCGGGAATTAGTTTATTTGAATTATATTATTTTCGTAGTTATGCCACCAATTGAATATTAAAGTTGTCGATCCAGGTTTTTCAGGTTTATAGACCAAAATTGTCCCAAGTTTATTCTTTAACAGGGTTATTTTCTATAAGCTTTCATACATAACGTCTCAATGAAATGGGTTTAAAATTCGCAGTTCTGAAATCGGTGGATCAAGCAACGGCTGGAGAAAGCTGGATCAAACATGTGTTTCAAAAATATAACTCAGTACTCACTGCAGTGAGTGACAGAGAGCGCATTTTCTCGTCGACGAAAACTTGAGGTCACGGACGGTCGGACGGACAGACGGGCGGACAGACAGACAGACAGCCGGACATGGCGAGCACAATAGTGCATTTTTCCATAAATGAGAAAATGCGCTAAAAAGTGAGATCCAGCAGAGGTTAGAGGATGTGATGGATCAAGCAGGGGATGGGGAAACGGTAGATGAAGCACTTCAAGCTCCTGCTAGAGAAACAGTGGATGATGTTGGTTGCACCGTGGACCAATTAAGCATGGGTCATATGTATATAGAGAAAGAGTTGATCAAGTACGGGTAGGAGGGTACGGTGGATCAAGCAGGGGCTAAATACGTATATAGAGAAATAGTATATCAAGCAGACGCTGGCGGGAACGGTCGACTGCTTTGGGATCCTGGAAGGCTGTAGTCTCGGCGTTACTGTCCGACCATATCCCGTCGCTGGTCACGGCCAGTTTCTCAACCGTCAATGACAAATGAGTCGCCTCTGTTTCCAAATCGTTGATATTAGTAACAATGCATCTGATATGCGTAATTGAAGAACAACGGTTTAGTTGTTTCATCTAAATTCTTGTGGAACTAATGAACAGCAAAATGCATGCATGCCCTGTATCGTTTGCATGGCAAAACATGATTTCATTTACAATTACATCGTTTTTATCGATAGGATACTAATTATGTGCAGTTACAATGTGAAAATCAGTGGCAGCAGCTGTTCATAAAGATTTGCGAAGAGATAAAGGGAGGCAGGGTATGTGGTAAAGACGTTATTGATTTTGATCAAGCCTTTAATGACGACTGCCATACTGGCGGTCGTGGCTTGCAGCAGGAAATTGAGAATTTCTGAGCAACAAAAACTCAACTCTAGATAGCATCGCAAGACTGTTTAGCCCTTGTCTATCTAATAATATTATTTATATAGAAGTCAGCCAGTGATCACCCCATTTTTAAATTAATATTATGTTACAATTGCGAGTCAGTGCAGCTTGAAGGCGGTGTCATGGTCCAATATTAAGTGTTAGTAACCAATTTTCTATCATCATTTGAATCAAATGAATGCAGTTCGACCTAAACTTGAGTAATTGGCTGACACCTTTTGCTCCAGGATTAACTGAGTGTACTGTTACATATGGTTTACATTTACTCGAAAGAATCTTGCGCTAAATTGTGTATATTACGACAAGTAATAATTCACAATTCAATTTGTGTCGATTACTACCATTATTTTCTAAAAAATGTGTTTTAGGTTAATTTTGTACAGATGAATCAAGATCGATGCGCGAAGACGAGTAGAGTCAGGAAATAATTTAAAGCATTACCATGGTATTAATAATAATCATAAAATTTTGTGTCTCTTACAGATAATTTAAATAATAATTTAAAGTCTAGGCCACCGCATTAATAATAATCATAAATTTTGTGTCTCTTACAGATAAGCCTGACCCTCCAGGACGCCCGCTGGTCGAGCAGTTCAAGTCGAGATTCGTGATACTGTCGTGGACGCCGCCCCCCAACAACCACCACTCATCCGTCACGCATTACATCATCCAGATACGGTCAGTCCATATGTTATCTTCTCATATCTTCACTTTTGTATTCATGAAATGAACTTATAAGAAGAAAATGATGGAAACTTGCGTAAATGATAAGTGCAAATGATGACTTGTTTTTCGCTCACGACTCGCCGGTTTCATATTTATTCACTTCATTCATATTTATTCACTATGAATCCTAACAAAAACAGGTAACAGTGACTATAGCGCCTGATGTATATATATTGTGCGATTAAATTGAATAAATTTATTAGCAGCCTTCGTTTATTGTTAAGGCAGCATCAAGTGTAAGACGTTCACAATTGCTCTCAGTCGTTCGGAAAATAAAAGTCTATCTTGAATTTCCAGAGCCAAGTGCTTCGTAAATGGCAATCGCTCAGGCGCAAGAGCTTTAGCGACTTATTGTAGCTGCTACTGCTTACTGCTTTGTACAGTGTTAATTTGAATTCTTTCTATTCCTTACTATTTTGCCCTCCTTCTAACCTTGTATTTCATACTTCGATTTCCTGGTTTTTCTCAATCATCGCCCTATTTATTTTTTGTGGCTTCTAGAGTTCTGCTTCAAACAATCATACTTGGCTGTTCTTCACAAAAATGCTAAGAGTTAGTGTGAACTCAGTATACGTTCTTTTTTTGCCACGCAAATTAAATTTTACTAACGTGATTATAATTTTATTTATTTTGCTACGCACACTACATAACAGTTTATAGCAATTCCGTGATGATCATTTGAAAGGAAAATATTCATAGTTGCGCAAAAGGTTCGCATTATACACGTACGTGTGTTTCATTTGTCGTTGTAAGCACTGATTTTGCACGTTTTGTATTGGTTTTAATCCTAAAAATCTTGAAAATTGTAAATTATTCACCTAGAAATACGTAAAATGGTCCACTGAGGATTAAATTCTAACCCTCAAATGTTATGTTCTTTGCGTTTTGTAGGCGGGTTCTTCTTCCTGCACTTATTTGATACGTACTGCTTTTTCATTTGAAGTTTTCATTGGATTGCCTTTTTCTTTTATTTTGAATATGTAAGTGAAGAACTTTTTGATATATCATGATTAATATGATCGTTGTTGACCAGCGTTCATAAGTGTAGCACAGCGCTTGCTTCTCCGCGGGCATTTGGAAACAAACATTCGTGTGAAAATTTTGCCTAGCCTGGACGTCGAATGGAAGATTATTCTTTATTTTAGCGTTCAATTTATTCGCAACATTTGCTCTCAAATTTATTCGTAGACTTCGATTTTTATAGCAAAGCTGTGATATCTGCCATTTGCGATATTCAAAGAAAACAAATTAATACTGCTATAAGAGGATTATTCCTCGTGGATGCAGTCAAAACTATCCTTGAAAGCTTTAATTTATTTTCTTTCGTTTCATCATTATCTAAAGTTGATGCTGGAATATAAATGTTAAAACAAAAATGCAAGCCTGATTTGATAGTCGATTTCTAGTTATATATCCAAATAATATTTCCCTTGCATCTTCCCATAATTTCGTTTTATATAAGAAAAAAATTAAATCACGTCTGAAATTTTTTGGAACAAATTGAGATTGTATGTTTATGCTGCAAAGAATTTTGACCTTGTGTAGCTGAAATATTTCGGCAGCTTTTCTTTCGCGTTTCCTGAAAACTCTAAAACGCGACCCTAAGAACTCAAAAAAGCCGTGCTGAATTCCTGTGTTTGAGGGGCGTATCCTAATTTATGTTTAATTTCCTTTCTCTCAAACTTGGCTTAGGAACAGAAAGCTACGAAAAAAATTGTGCAGTTGCGTCGTGAAGAAATGTCTGTACAGGGAACGAACGGTACCTTCCGCTCTGGTTTCTAATTTTCTATTCGAATTTCATCTAAATTTCCCGTGCAGATTTTCCAATTTGTTATATTCTTACACTAATAGTATGCTCAATCATTACGCTGTGTCTTTTTGTTTCATTAAATGTTTTGTTAAATTGTAGGTTGCCATTAATGAAATTCTTCCTATATTTCTTTCGGATGTTTAAAAAAATGCCCTCGTTTATTATGATAAGAAAGCTATGTTTCCAGGCACGATCTTGTTTTGGCTGCAAGTTTTCGTTTGAATTAAAGAAGCAGCATATTTCCGAGTTCTCTGTCTCGACTCTGTGGCGATTTATTTTTAATTTAATCTTCCCTGCAGTCATCCCTGGTCTCTAGATTTTATTTTATAAAATCTGGCATTGGAAATATATTTCCGTGGTCGAACGTCCTCAACTCTTAACGATGTATTCGGCCGTCAGTTTTCAATTAGAATTTTGCAGCCGATGCAAAGGAGAATGTTAACGACTTGGCCTCAAGGGTGCGAGCCTTACGAGGTCGACTTTGCCGTACTATTCCGATGTGATCAAATAAAATTTCACAATTTTACGTTGACATACAAATTATTTTCGACGCAGTTTTACCTGAAACTCGTTTAATTTGTTTGAAAATGATGTATTATATAGATGTATTCGAACCGTTGAAAGTCTACGGACTTTAGTACTTATATTTTAATATCAATACTTCTTGAATTTCATGGAGAAGTTTGACACTCACGTAATAAAATTATTCCGCCTAGTCTTAAAAAATCATTTTAGAGCTTATTTTTGACGCTATTTTTGAGAAATATCTCTGAAATCCTATTTCCCCGACCCAATCGATCACGGATACATTAGTAAATAATCGTGGTTGGGCTCTCAAAACTCCCCATTTTCCGAGAACATTAACAGTTGATGCTCTCAAGTTGGCCGATTTATCAAGATTTTTACGGGACCTCTAAGTTTCTAGTGTCGGTTTTTTTGACGCCCGGATTTCCCATTAATTTTTCAGGCTGCCGCAGTGATGAATTATATTGGCTGGCATTTTTTAAGCCGTGATCTTTCTGATTGGATCTGCCCCGATGCTATCGTGGAAATCCTCTCATGATTGCCTTCGTCCCCGTATAATCTCGTAATCACGATCAGCTCCACAAATTCGATTCAGTTTCCAGGTTTTGTCGTTTGATTGCATTATCGGTTACATGGTTTATTTGTATTGAACGACTGAAGGTTTTGACCACATTGGGCACAATCTGCTTTTTTATGATGAAAATTTGATCATATCTATAAATTGGTCTTATATTTTCCTGGTATGAAGCAACACTTTCAATTGAATGAAATTGATCATTGAAATTGGCAAAAATACTTTCGTTCGACACGTAAAAGTCCTTATGCATTTTGCATGCAAAGCTTCAAGGTAAAATTGATGATTACTTTACAGATTGCCGGTGGATATAAAAAAAGTTATCTTTTTAAATGTTGGTGTTAATCAAATCGCATCTAATGATAATGTTTCAAAATCGCTTGCCAAATCGTGCCGACCTGAGTGCGGACTTCTACTCAAAATGATCCTTTGAAACTTTCAGGATGTGCTACCATAATAAGGCTAAACGCTGTGTCTATATCGGAGAATTATTTACACGTAAACTTTTATCAAAGGATTGCAGTTTTTTATTATTTTCATCATTGCCATTGCATACTTTCTTTTTCCAATTAATTTTAATCCGTCGAAAATAGCAGAAGAAATACTTTCTATATACCTGCAATTCTAGTTAAAATGTTATTATAGTTGATCATTATTTTCAATGTTGATAACATATGTTTATCTCGTACACTTTCAATCGCATGGCCTCTCTAAATCCATCGTTAAGATCATCGTTTAATTTCTCTCTATTCAAAATAGGGACTTGGTCACCGCCAGTATAGTTTAGCGCCAAACTTCATTATAATTACCATGAAATGTCGCCGTTTCGAGCGCTGTGAAGTAGCAATCCTTCCATCAGTAATGAGATCAAGGCTCTCAGTGCTGGCCTTAGCGAGTGGATTTACAGGCCTGTGGGAAGTGGCGCTAGCCTTCGACCCGACGACTGCTGCTCTAGGCCGCCCCATCAGCGCCGGATTTACACGCGCCTCTTATTTTAAACGATTTGCCCCGCCTGCTTCTCATTGAGCTTGTTTTTTTTTCAATTTTTGACTAGTGCTGAACCATGTATTCTAGCATACCAATTTTCTCCCCACTAAACTTTTTTTTTCAATTTTAGACTAGTGCTGAACCATGTATTCCAGCATACCTATTTTTTGTAAAATTCTCCTGACTCTTTTGAAAAGGTTTATTGGATTATATTTTAGAGTGCCCCTACAATATACATTACAATTTACATAATGAAAATCGCATAACTATCAACAGTAGAAAATTATTTATCTATTTCCAATCCCATGATTATCTGAATTCTGAAAAATTCGCTATAGTGTGCATTTTAAATTGTCTGTTCGTCTTAAGTCAAAGAATTTACTACATTATTTTCAAGTTTTGCTGTAGGTACGTGGTATTCGGGCAATCTTGCTTCTATTTTGTCCTTTTAAAGCATATAAATTAAAATCTCTGAATTTTAGCTTACAATTAACTTTAAATCGTCTGTGTTGAACGTTTTATAATTATTGCGTTTTGTCGAAAACCGGCATTCATTGATTGGATGCTTTAGCGATGTCGTCACTGAGGACATCTCTATTTATTTTGTCAAAATTATTAGTTCGGTTCGTTGAAACAGTCTTGTTCTCTTAAAATATTTGAAAATGACAGATATGTAATATGTTAAATAAATAAATGTTTGAAACGACAGATAATGTCCAGCCTCTTTTTAAAGACACTTTGCTTTGTTCTCAATTAAAAGAACCTAGCCCTAAATTCTCATAGATTTTATTTACTTGTCTACTTTGCTCCCGATATCTATTCTCTAGACCAAATGTTTCCAAACTTTGTACCGCTTGGGGACGCGCGGGTATCTGTTAATTGGAGTTTATGTACAGTCACTACGTACTAACCTCTAACTAATGAGTCTTATTAGCCGATAACAGGTAGTAACAGTTGGATTCTATTTTACTTGATTCGCTAATAATTAGGTAATCAAATTATTGTATAGTTTAAATTTGGTTCTGGACCCCTGGGACCAGGGGGATGCTTTGCAGT